TGCACTATGGTGAATCCTCACGAATTGTTTATTATAAAACATTGTTCTTTATTAGGTGAGTTTTGTGCTTTTCCACAAAAAATATATTCTATGAAAATACGTCAACGTGTAAGAAAGCCTGAACTTTTCAACGTTTTTTTCTGAAGTGTCTGAACGAATTAGGAAAGTGGCAAAGTCTGTAACGTACAACAGACCTCAAACAATCACGAGTTGACAGGGGACTTTCTAAAAAAAGAAATGTTTATCCGATCGTAAAGAACAGTCAAAGCAACTCAATCTCTTTGTGACTTTCAGTATTGAAGCCAAAGAATTTTGTTTTCTTGAGCAAAGAATTTTCTCCTTGGAACTTATAACAAAGCTGAAATACTTTTGGCTTATTTCTACGTACAAATAAAGGTAACTAAAGAAAAAATAAGGCAATTAAGGTGTTTCTCCTTTTTTTTTTTCCTACTTTCAACTTCAATAAGTTTTCATTCTCTGAAAAAAATTCTTATTCAACATTTCGGTCGTGGCTGAAAGAAACAATGATCTTCGATACATAATTTTCCCTCTGCTGTTTTACAGTAAACAACGAGGTAATAAATCTTTTGTTTGTTTTGAATAAGATACGGCGGAGATACATTTTTTTTTCTAAAACAACAATACAAATTTTATGAAATGATGTCGTATATAATGCTTTTCGATTTATATGGATATCAGGAAGTTTGCATTTTGTGAGAACAACGTTGATCAATTGATGCTTCAGAAAATCCTTTAGGGATTCATTTTTCATCCAACTGACAGGGTACTTTAAGAAATAAGAGAAACGTGACGAAATGCTGTATAGGTAGTTGAGCAGTGTAATGATTTAGACAGAAAGCGTTTCTGTAAATGAAATGAAATAACAATAGATACGTAAAACAAACAGAATAGATAGAGATAATGAATTGTTTTCAAAAGAAAACTAAACAATTTTTCTTCAAGATACCAAGAATTCTGGTAAGAGCTAATGTACATCATATGACTAGCCAATCACCGATGAATGAGAAACTTAAAGAAAAATCACTAAATCTCTTGACAAGATTCTGTGTCCTCATCGTAAGGTCGCATCACCACTCTTCCCTATCCCGAGTTAATCTTCGCAATCTAGGTCTACCTCGACTCCTCTTAACTATTGTTTCTGCCTCTAATATGTCTCTGTTTTCCTATTTTTCATTTTCTTTTTTAACCTTCTCTATCCACGCTACCCTCATCATTCGCCGGTATCACCACATTTCGAACCATTTCTTTACCGCGGCGCCCACCGTCCAATGTTTTTCGCACCCGTACAGCGCCGCGCTTCAAACATACACCTTTAACAACCTTATTCGAATTTCTAAATTAATCGTTCGCGAGTATAGAAGGGACTGCTTTTTATTGAAGGTGACTCGACTTTGCGCTATCCTCTGCTCTAAATCGTTACTAATCCTTCCGTCCTGACTTATATGACTTTCTAGATACCTAAAATCAGCTAGTTCTTCTAATTTGTCGTCTCCTATCGTTATATTAGATCTTTCTCTTCTTTTTCTTCCTTTGGATACCAGTATTTTTGTTTTACTTTTATTTATTTTCATACAATACTCTTGTCAATACCGCTTTTATTTGATTTTTTTAGGTAGCTCACATTTTTTTATGATTGTATAATATATAAAACTTCTATTAACTCCCGTTAGGGTGTGTTTTTAAAAATTTATTTTACAGTTGATTAAACCGTTGTATAAAGTACTTTTTATGCAAAACTTCATGTCTCTAGACCAAGGGGTTTGAAGTGTGCGTTGATATATAACTATCAATAGTAATAATTTTAATAATTACGTAACAATACATAAACACCCGCCGCCCTAAATGCTGTAAAATATACACTGCCATTTATTTTTGCCCGTTTCTTCCATAAGGAAATATGGCTCCGTATCTACGCGAACTACGGAATGATCACATTTGATAAAAAATTAATTACCTAAAAACGTAATTATTGATTAGTTACCAACAAGCGAAAATTTTCGTAACTAAATAAAAGGTAAACAGATTTTTGTTTTCTTTTCATTACAAGGCTGGTTTATACTCTTTTTACATTTATCCGAAAAAAAGTAGTTTAGTTTTTTATTTTTTTTTTCTTGGTAAGTTATACACTGGTCGTTTTTAGTCTATCCTAACAAAGCAGACTAATGGGAAGCACGTGATGGTCCTTGAATCTATATGGGAATTGGTAAAGCCATTCCAATTAAATAATCCTTCAAATATTAATTAAAGAACCATTTTTTGAAATGAAACTTCCTTACGCACGGTAGGGTAAGTTCGTTTCATGCGAGTTGCTATGTAATGAAACCATGCAACTGATGTCCCCCCTCTACTCGACCACGTAGTCGAGTTCGTAGTGGGGATCGCTTGAGCCGTGAGTGCGCTTCAATGCAACGTTCGTTACAGGCAACTCCGACATGTATAGTGTAAAATTTAAATTCATAGTGTACAAATAATACCATTAAACCAATTCCTCAACCCCTGTCCCGGTATGTTTGTGTGTTTGAAGAAGTTTCACTTCAGTAGCGTGTTGTATAACTACACGTTGTATTTTTTTTTCGTTATGTTTACGATTCATTTTTTGTACTTTTTATGCCTCAGTACAGGTATATTAGAGGTGTTTAAATTTTGGTTAGTTTACGTTACATATCGACGCAATAGATCAGACCAAGTTAACTCCAGCTGCACACACTGGGACCAGTGTCGGCACCGGTGTTTGGTGGAATAAAAAACCCCAGCTTGTGTACGTCTCGATATATTGGTGTCGAGTCAGCGAAGAATTTAGTGAGTTTTTGTTCTCCCATGATACTCTCTTGGACGATATTATTTTATAAAATATTTTACTGTCTTCTTTCTCGGAATATTCTATTTTCCCATGCACTAACGCCTTCAAATACCTGTACCAGTGTGTGGTCGGCACCCATTTCTATGGTGTATTGTCTAAAAGCGATACACGACGAAAGACTTTCAACTTTGGCGCCAATTTATAAAATCATAGGCGCCAATACTGTTTTTACACTATTTTATTGATCCACTGAAAACTGTTGGACTTAACGTTGATCCCATTGTATGGAGCCGGGGGTACGACAGTTGAGGTTAGGTTAGGTTTGATAAATTTTGAATAGATACTACTGTCACTAACTATTGCGAAAGGTTAGGAAAATTTACAGTTGTATTACTCTAGAATTTACAATGTCAATAAAATACACCTTCAGTTACTAAAATATTGCATTTCTGCATAATTAAAGTCATAAAATTTATGAGGTAATAACATTAAAACAGTTTTATTTAGTTTGTCGTCACCCGAGTACTTTTCGGAGTAAAATAAACATGGTTCGCTATTTTGAACAGAATCCTCTCATTCTTGATTAATATTAGCATTATAAATCCAACACAAGTATCTAGTTTAATTCAGGCGAAATGGACTAACTTTGTACGAATATTTTACTAAAATTTCGAATTTCATCATTATGAATAATTCAGAATTACAAAAGGACCGCGGGATGCGGACTACATCAAACAACAACCTTAACAATCAATTAACGGGGAAAGACTGAAAAGGGAAGGAAATGAAACAGGTATGTTGAAAGTACGAGGACATTGACAATGAAGTTATACGCTTGCAGGATTATCTCTCCAGTAAATATACGCTTAAACTTTAGAAAGTCGGAAAAGAGCAGATTTTTTGCCAATTTAATGATGAGCAAAATGTGTCTTGAGCTTGCGAAAATACAAGGCCAAAACCAAACCAGAACGACCAAAACCAAAACTAAAACCAAAACCGAATACAGTAAATGCTCTTTATTCGCCGGGTATACGTTCCATAAATATGCCGCGAATAACGAAACCATGAATATGGAATGGTAATTAGTATGGAATCATAGGGGATCAAAGTAAAATCAATGTATTGATAAATTCACAATTAAAATTAATCGTTATAATCAGCTTTAGGCAAGAGTTTAAAAAATTTAGTGACTTTTTCTTGTTTTGAATTTTGAAATTAGTCCACTCGGTTACATCTTTTATAAATATCCCCTCAGGACGAGCCAGTAGTACTCAAAAGATGCTGATACGTTGAAAAATAACACCAAATCCTTTTTTACTCAGTTAGAAGCCGCTTCGGCAAGTACCAACTGTACATACTCAAAAGATGCCGATACATCAAGGGGATACATTAGTACACACGCCCTAGTGTAAAAACATGCTTATCGGTTCTAGATATCATGAGTTTAATATTTGGAACAGAGGTTTGAAATTTTGTAGTAAGATTGATAAAGCTTTGTTCTAAGGCTTATCGAAGGGCATTTTTAAATTTTGTAATTTCTATTGAAAATACGTGTCCTACAAGAAGCATCAACTTTAAGCACTTGTAAATGCTTTTAATGACCATATTATTGAAAACCAAAAACGTACCGAGTTAGTGTGAACCTTTGTCTGTTACAATACAAAAAATTAGATATTTATCTCGCAGAGTTAAATCACAATATTTAGAATAGAAACCCATGTTTTCGGAAAAATCTACACAAGGCACAAGCAGTCTATTGCGGTCAATCCCCTTAATAAATGACACCGAATCCTTTTCTGTTTTCCGATTGCATCCGCGAATAATGAAATTTTTAACCGCGAATACAGGAACTAGTTTGCAATTTTTTCGCCCGCTAATAATGAAAACGCGAATAAGGAAACCGTGAATAAGGAACTTCTACTGTACTACTTATCTGACTTAACTTCATGTCTCAACTCGTCTGTCAACTAATGTAAAAAATGACCAAAGAAATTTTACTAGATACTGTTTCAAAAACGGGATCTACAACAATAAATTTTCTTTGTTCTTAATATGTCTCGATAATACAAGCTTGAAACATAGAAGCAAACTAATTCTCTTTCGATACTTTTAACTTCTTTCAGATACCTTGTACTATTTTGTTCGCTGCGTTGGAGGAAAGGTCAAAATATGCACTTACCAGTTTTGGTGATCCACCACGTGCGCTATGTAAAGAAGTTGTGTCTGGTGCAGCTGTTGCGGTGATTTTCTTCGGCTCGTAACTATTCTTTTCGATTGAGCTTTTTCTGGTGACAGCGGTTCGAGATGGGGTATCGTGGATTAAAGGGGGGGACAGGGGAGGAGGTAAATCGTCCTCAACCGTATACTGACTCTTCTGAAACAAGGAAAACAATTTCTCACTACATTATTGTGCATAATCACTAACTATATATAAGACAAGTGCAATTAATTAAATAGGAGACATCGTCATTTTGACTGGTCATGACTAGTAATACCAGATTTTATTTTTAATGAAATAATAACTATTAAAAACTTTGCGTTTTAGGGAAAGCCGTAGAGGCCTTTAGAAAAACTTAGTTAGATGTTTGCAAAATGAAATGGTCTTGTTACCATATCATCAAAGGTTGTTTGAGATCGACGTTTTGTAGATCTCGATTAAATCGTTAATATTTGTCGATTTTCATTGATCTATTTCAAAATGCAGATCATGGTAGATATTCACGTTTTCCCAGATTTCAATTTCGAACTGCCGTTCTAAAGTAGTATTTGCATAGGTCACAAATATGCATATGTATGATTTATTAAATTAAAAGTGCCCGCATCCCATATGTTCCGAGTGCGTGGCTAAAACGTCAGATTTTTGAATATGCATATGCATTTCCGTGAAATTTTTGCGCGAAAAAGTTGGAGTTGTTGGAAAAGAGTATTTCAAAAATATAAAGCCGTCTAAGGTATCAAATGAAAGGCATATTATATGTTGATATAATCATTGAGTGAGATACTCGAAAATTGCGAATTTTTATAGTTAAGTTTCATGAATCCCTTAAGAGATAAATATTCATGCATTCCTGTTTATTATAAGTAAGTATTCATCAACACGAGATCGTCAGTCCTAAGACTGGTTAGACACGCACCTCCACTCTTTCTCATCCAGAGCTAATCTTCTCATTTCCCTAAAACTAGAACATCCATATCCTTAACTATTTGTGAAGAGTAATCTGATCTAGGTCTAAATCTACTCCTATGAACTCCTTGCTCCCGGTTCTAATAAGTTTTTGACTAGCCCGTCATGCCTGAGGCGTCCCATCAACCTACCCTATCTCGTCTATTCTTCTTCCAGAGAGCCCCCTGTTGTCCTATTTTTTTTAATATCCTCATTTTTAACCTTCTCTATCTACAGTATCTTCATCATTCACCTGTAACACCACATTTCGAACGTTTCTAACAATTTCTTATTCCCGCCGCGTCCACCGTTCATCTTTAACATCTTGAAGAATCTTTTTCGAATCTAAATTTACCGATCGCGAGCATAGAAGTGAATTCTTTTTGTTGAAGGCGATTCGACCCTAAAAAAAAAACTTTTTGGTGTTTCATTCCCACCAGCCAGTAATGCTGGTGGGCGGGCAGTCCCTCCGGACTATGCTGGAAGGTAGGGCGGAAGGCCCTCTTCAGCCTGCTTTCAGGAATCGTGGGAATGGGTGGGTGGTGGTTCGGGTGAGAAAG